AAAAAATATTAAATGGTGGACTAGACTCTTTTAAAAACAATTATATGAATATTTATGATAACTATTTGTAGTCGCATTATTTCGTAACATGGCGCGTCGGGTTATACATAGGATTGTCAATACCATTAATGATTCGCGCGGTCGATTTAGGTTAAGTTTCTTTATATTATTGAAAAGTATTTGTACCGAAAAAATTAATAATTGGCCTTTTTTTTTTTTATTATAATAGCATTTAGCAATAGAGTATCACTTGATCTATTTGAGCATGTAATACAGTCAGAGATGCTACACTTATATGCCGCATGTATTATACCTATATTATTCTTGTTATTATTTGGTATAAATATGTATATCTGGTCAAGCTTCGGAATAAATTATAAATTTATTTTTGATTTCAATCCAAGAAAAAATTTGGATTTTAAACAATTTCTTGAGGTAATTATGTTCAAATAAATAAATTCTTATTCTTTTTTGCTTTCGAAAATATAATATCATTTCATTTCGTTTGGATTTTAGATCCCTGCGTTTATAATGCTGATCTTTTGCTATACGATGCTTATAAATATGTCTGAAAATAATATTTGGATTCTACTTTTTGTAATATTATGTATTTTTCTGTGTCCTTTTAAAATATTATATTATGACGCTAGGAAATGGCTTATGACATCTCTGGTAAATAATAATAATAGAAATAATTCTATGCTCCTTACAAATTAAAATGATTTTTATCTTTATCTGTATTTTTATTTTTACTTTTATTTTTTTAAAAATTTTAGTTACGAGTCATTGGAAGTGGATTTTATCACGTTGAATTCAGAGATTTCTTTATCGCTGATATATTAAATAGTTTAACTTATACGGCAACACTTTTATTCTGCACACGTAATGATCTTTAATATTTTTGATTTTTTTATTTTAAAAAAAAAAATAAGGTTTAACTTACCAAGAAATTCGAAAAAATATTACTTTTTTACAAAAAAAAAAATACATATATATATATAGTTGGAGATTGTCACGAAAATTGGACATGCATTGTACCATTATTATCAAGTTTACCGGCGTGGTGGAGATTTGTTCAATGCTGGAAGCGTTATTTTGACACTTTGCATAAATTTCCACATTTAGCTAACGCAGGAAAATATTTTTTATCAATGGCAACAATATGGATATTTTACTTAGATATTTCCACATCACTTTCGATAGGAAGTCAAATAATTTCTTCAACATATTCACTTATATGGGACCTATTAATGGATTGGTCTTTATTACAATTAGATAGTAAAAATTATTTATTAAGAGATAATATTAATTTTAAAAGTTATATTTATTATTTTGCTATCATTTCTAATGGTTTGCTAAGATTCAGTTGGATTTTAAAATTCACTATACCTCATAAATATAATAAACTCACAGTTTATGCTATTGGTTATTTTGAAATGTTGAGACGTTGGCAGTGGAGCTTACTTCGGATAGAGAATGAAGTAAGTTATTTTCAACTAGTGCCTATTAAATTTATCCTTTTAATATATTAATTTATATTCCTTTATAGCATGTAAATAATTGTGGACAATTCCGTGCTGTCAAAGAGATTCCGTTACCATTTGAAAAGGAAGAAACCATACGTGAAAAAACTGGTTTACAAAAATTGCAAGAAATTCTTATTCCTGAAAACAATCTTTTTCCAACAATTTTATTTCACGATAATTCAAAATTTGAAGATATTAATGAAGAAGAAACCAATACTAATTTAGCTGAAAGTACAAAGGATGATATGTTGACTATTAACCGACAAAGGGAATTATCTTTAATTTCTTTAGAAGGTGGATTGAAAAAGTATCAACAATAATAATGAACTTGAAAATGATTCTGCATCCAAATGATAGATATGTATTCCAAATTAATTAATAATCTTTAATCGCATTATGTAACCAAAATTTTATCATATTATATAATATCTAATATTAATTACACATATAAATACATCATCCTTAATAAATTAATTATAAATAATACTTTTTTTTTTTTTTTATTATTTCTAGTAACTTGTTCTATTTTCAATATAATAAAATAATATTATAAAACAATAAATATGGAATGCTTTGCTAACTGTAAAATTTTCAACGAGTATTTAGATGATTTATATCTAGACGAACCCTTTTGAAAATGAGGAAAGTATACGTTACTGTTCTGGTAAATTATTTTCTAAATAAATGTTAATTTATTTTTGTCTTACTGTAACCGGATGGACTGCAAAATGATAATCACGTCGTTCGTGATAAAAAAAAAATCGCGTATCACCAAAAATTAAAATTACATCTAATGAGATGATTTGAAATGGCATGATATGATGCTTTAGTGAAGGACGCTAAAAAAATTTTGATTCGTAGTTTTTCTTCTATTATGTTAACAATTTCATTATTCATCTTGATTGTATGTATATTTAATATTTTTTTTTTTTTAGAAGAAATTTAATTACCAATGAACCAAATAATACGTCAAAGTAAAGTAATAAAAGGTTATTTCATTAATTCCTTACAATGATAGAGTAGATAATGTTAATTTCTTCCTGTCAATTGGTAAGTATAATTTGATCGTTCGTACGTAATTTTATGAAGTTTTCACTAACCAAATAGAGAGAAATCACCAGTCATAATGATATCGAAATCTTCCTTTTGAAAAAGAATCCAAAACTTATCATTACGTACATATTGTTGATTGGAAATTCTACCTAGAAGGATTTGGAGTTGATAAAAAATAAAGAGGTAGCAATAAACTTCTGCAGATAGTTTTCGTATCATCTCAAATAAAAGTAACATGTTGTTATATTCAGATAAATTGAAAATGGTATAATCAATATTTATTGAAAGAATTTTGCTGATATCAAAGTAGAGCAAATGATTTTCATTATTTTTTTTTACAAAGTAGAAATAATGGAAATTATTGATCGTTATAGTTATAATTTTTTAAGGATCAAAGAATAATCAAACGAATGAAACATTTGAAGCAAAAATTTTAATAAAATAAATCAAATTTTATTTTTAATTTTAATCAATCAAAATATATGTTTTTTTTTTTTATTAAATAATTTTATATAAATTATTATATTCAATTATAATTACATTTTACATTTTTACATATTACATCTTTTGTATCTCCTATAAAGTACCCATTAACATCCTTAATTAAAAATATAAATTAGAAATTAATCAAAAAATTCAAAAGCCAAAAATTAAATTAAATTTAAAAAAGAATTTAAATCTATATCATATTCTACTCTTCTTATCCTTGCTTTTGATTTTTTTCATTCAAATCTACTCTTCATATCCGTTCATTCGTTTGTTTAATATCCATCTTCTTGAGAATTTGTATTAAAAAAATTTTCAATTAGTAAAATCAAAAAGATAACCTCAAAAAATAAATAAATAAATAAATAAAAAATACATATCAGGATACTGAGATTATCTAATATTAACCGCTCTAAAATTGATTAGACTGGTTATGAAGAATATAACTGAAATTTTCTTAAGAATCAGTAGACCTTGTAAACCAGTCTAATAAGATAAGAGTTTTATAATAAATAAGTTTTTCACTTTAATATATAATCCCAAAAAACCTACAAAAAGAAATATTTAAAAAGAAATAGTGATATAATTTTAACAACTCAATAAAAAATACACATCTAGCAATAATAAAATACATAAGGGTAGGATAAAAGAAAATAAGTAAAATTTTATGAGATGAGGTAAAGTGTATTTATAATAAAATCAAAATAAAAAAATAAGTTTTTTTTTAAAGATTATATTAAATAAAATAAAAGTGTTTTTTTATTAAAAAAAATATATATAACAATTCAAAAAAAAAAATTAGAAAATTAATTTTCAATAATATTAATTATACAACTATAATTAATCATTAAATTAAAAATTTCCTTATCATTTTATTTACAATTTTTTTTATAAGAAAAAAGCTAAAGAAAAATAATAAAATAAATTAGAGTTTTAAATCAAATCAAATATAATATATTATTTTTTTTAAATAATTTAATTAAATTAGATTATATTATGTTAAATTAGATCAAGTCAAATAAAAATTTAAATTAGATCAGATTTTTATTTGACCTAACCTAATCCTTTCAGTTTAAATAACTTGATTGATTAACTTATTTAAAGCTCTAATACTGATTTAAAGAAAATGTAAAAGAAGATTGTTAATTATTTAACTAAAATTATTATTTTAATATTAGCTTGATATATATTATAAAGTTATTTTAAATATTTAAAGATAACCTTACTTATATTTGTTTATTTAATAAATTATATATTTTAGATAAATTAACTAAAATTATACATTTATATGCTAATAATTAGCATAATGTAATTAAGATAATTAATAAATATTTATATAAACAAAAATTTATTATTTTTGATTTGATTATATGGGTTTTTTGCAATAGAAAGGGAGAAAACTACTAAAAAAATTTTACTTATTTTATTAAAAAAATAATATTTAGCTTATAAAGCAAAAAAATTTTTTTTGGTAGTTTCTTTCCTTTCTATTGCAAAGAGTCCATATCTTGAAAATATTAATATAAAATATATGTTAGTTAAAATATGTCATTTTTTAGTAAATAAAATTTTAATAATAGCTGTTTTTTATAAGAGTCATTAAATATATATTTTTCTAAACTTTTAGATTATATTTAGAATTTTTATGCTATTTTACTTATAATCTATTTTAAAAATACTAGAAAATAATATATATTTTATACTACTATATCTTGTATAAGAAATGATTTAATTATGAGAATAATAATTTTTCTATTTTTAGTGAAGATAATATTTTCTACAAACTTTTGCTAAAAGTTTCTGAATATCATCTTTTAGGGGTTATTTTATACTGATTACATTATGTGACTGCATAATACTTTAGTTATGTAATGTTCAAATCTTGTTTATTTAAATCAAACTAAATAAATGTGTGTTTGATTTATTTATTTTGATTTTTAATCAAAATAAACTTTATCTTCCCAAAATAAGAAAATGTCTAAGGAATTAATAATAGAATAATACAGAGATATAATTTTTTGCTGTTAACATAGTGATAGTTACTGAATTATTATTATAACTATCAGTTATAGATTATCAATAATTTTTAATACTTTAAAAAGGATGGATGATACTAAAACTATTAATTTTAAGCTTTATTCTGGTTGATCACCTTAATTAAAGATTCGTAATAAAAGTAACTTAAGCAAGTTATCACTAATAATAAAAAAATTATTGCTTATACACTAGAGAAATTCAACAACTCTGACAAAAAGATTAGCCAAAATGTTTCAACTTAGACTATTGGTCAGGCACTTTATGTAATTAGATTAAACAATTATTTTATTTAACAAAAAGCTTTTAATTATACTAAAAAATATTGAAGCACATCTTGAATAGTGTTTAGAATACCAAAGTTAGATAAAGGATGTTTGGTCAAAGGTTATGTGAAATGATAAATCAACCTTTTCACAATTCTAATAAAGCCAATATAGTCAAGTGTCATAAAAAATGAAACATTTCTTGTATTTTTACTATAGTGAAATATAGCTCTAGTCAGATATTTTGAGACTACTTTTTGAGACAAGGCTTAGAACTGATTGTTCCATTATCTAAAACAGTCACTGATACTATATATATTATTATTCTTTGCAAATGTGTCATACTAACTATGAGACATGTATTTTCAAACTATAATCATATATTCTAAGAGGATAATGTTCGCCCTCACAAAATAAAACTTGTAAAGAAATTTTATGTAGAAATTAGTTTGCATATACTTCTGTAGTCTATTCAAAATCTAGATCTTAATCCTATTAAGAATCTATAGGTTGAAGTCAAGAAAAGCATTTGTGAAAGAAAAATTTGCTTTTTAACTTTGCTCAACTTAACTGATATATTATAAGAGCATAAAATCAAATTCTGATAAAAACTATCAAAAATTTGATTGATATTATATTACAGTAAATTTAAACTGTAATTGAAACAAATAAAGACTTGATCAAATACTAATTATTTAGTATTAAATTTGTAACATATCATATTTTAATAAATATATTAATAAAATTTCTTTAATAAAATTTAAAAAATTTAAGTTTTATATTAAACCAAAAAGTGTTCAGAGACTTTTAACAAGAGTCTGTATATATTAATAGATTTTTAACTAATACAATTTTCTTTAAATTACAAGTAATATCTTAAATAAAGAAATTAAAAGTTTAATTAGTAATTTTCTTATTATATTACTTTAAAAATTTAGTTATAATAGATTTACAAGATTTTTATTATTTTTATAAATTAAGAAAGTCTTTAATATTTTTTTTTATTTTTTAATTTAATTTATATAGCTTTTTATTTTAATAACTTATTGAATTTATATATTTACTTATATTATATTTTATTTTTTAATACCTTTTTCTTAATTATATTTTGATTATTTAGTTTAGTAAATCTTCTACTTTAAAATAATTATTACTTATCTATTTTAGTAATAAATATTTTTATTATAAAATAGTATTATTGATAAAATAAAAAAAAATTGATTAAACTAGAAAACGTAAACTATTATTAAATTTAAATAATCTTAACTAAAATAATTTATACTAGTATTTGCTTTATTTAAACTTTTATATAATTACAAAACTAATAATATCAACTTAATTATTAAGCAAATGAATATCAAGAAACTTTATATAGTCTTTTACTTTATTCTAAACTAATTATTTTATATAGAAAGATAATATTAATATATTATTTATTTTATAAATAATAAAAAAAAAATCTGAAAATTTTTATTTTTTAA